TAAGCAGCGCTGGAAGAGTTGCAGCCACTCCAACGGAAGCAGCTGAAATGTTGAAAATTCAGCATTTCAGCGTCACAGGTTGAAGGTCTACAGCTACCGTCCCGGTTGCATCATCTTTCACATCCGTCACTGACCTATGTATCATTTACTTCTGAAAACCTAAGAGCAAACTAATGACCTTGAGGTGCGGACAATGTACACCCGAAACCTCTGATTTTTTTGGCGAATCACATATCCGAACCGCTAGCCATTCTGTTCCAGCGAATGTTCGACCAAGCAACACTCACAGAATCGTGGAAACAAGGAGTTATTTCGCCCATATANGTCGTAGTGATCCCACTAACTACCGATCTGTAACCCTGCTTCGGTGTTATCAAGTGTTATCGGTGTCATGGAGTCAATTGTGGCAGATTCTCTGATGGAACACCTCGAAAGCTACAACATTCTTTCGACAACTCAATACTGGTTTAGACAAAAGCGATCCTACTCCACCAACCTACTTCTTGTTCGAGATGAATGGACCAGAATAGTCAATGAACGGGACGCGGTGGGTGTGATTTATCTCAACTACTCGAAAGCATTTGATCAGTCGAATCCCCAAATTTTGTTATAGAAGCTCTATAATTACTTTATTCGAGGTTTTATGCTTGATTGGATTAGAGCGTTTATCAAACAACGGACCATATCAGTTCGTGGTTCTGATTCCATATTCGGATTTATCAATGCCACCCGCGGTGTTCCACAAGGATCCGTACTCAGATCCTGTCTGTTCCTCGCATTCACAAATGATCTACGATAATGTTTGCAGACGATGCCAAAATCTGGAATACAGTAACAGAACCCGAGGGCTCTCTGATACTTCAAGAATCAATTAACGCAGCTTATCAATGGTCGAAGGAGCACGACACTGAATTCAATGTTTTTAAATGCAAAGTCCTATCCTTACGCCACAGGAGAAAATTCTCGTATTTCCTCGGAAATCAACAGTTACCACATACTTCAAGTGAAAAGGACTTGGGTATTGTTGTTCAAGAGGACTTAAGCTGCTCGATCAATTGCGCTAAGGCCTTATCCTCTGCTGTGAGGAATGTCAGCTTACTTAGGCTAGTCTTTGGCCTGTTTGAATCAACATTGTTCCCACGTTTGCTACCAGTGTACATTCGACCGTACACAGAGTACGCCATTCAAGCTTGGAGCCTATGGTTGCAACGTGATTGCAAGATGTTTGAGCGTCCACAAAGGATGGCCACCAAGATGGTCAAGGGATTGCATTACCTCACCTATGAGTAGAGATTACGATCATTGGGACTATATTCTGCTCAGTACCATTGAATTCGGGAAGACTTGATTTTGACGTATCAAGTACTGCAGAACCCAAACCACTCAATTCGACCACTGTACATGTTATCAAACAATGTACAACTTAGGGGACACCGTTTCAAGTTACTGATTCCAAAGTGTCGACTGGAATGCCGGTGCCAATCTTTTGCAAATAGAGTATGCAGTACTTGGAACACCCTTCCATCTCACGTCATTTGTGCACCAAATATTGAATCTTTCAAGCGGGGATTCGATGAAACCTTGGTACACCTCACATTCCTACTCCACTAAAAGCCAACGCAAATTCACTGAAGCCTACATTCTCTATTATCTCCTACCTGAAACTGTATGTGATTTTTTCGCCGGGAGACGATACAACTGTGTAAATATCCTATGGAGACAAGAGAAACATGAGCTTGTAGTTAATTCGCATAATAAAACTTTGACTCTGTTTGGAATGAACAAAAATAGGCATACTTGCTGCTTAATGTTAATGGACAAGAAACGAGTGCAAAACCTGAAGGATTATTTCGTTTCATGCAACTGTGTCCTGTAACCCCCCTCCCCTCGCCTTGAATACGATTTCATATTTACCACCCCTCTCCCGATATTGAGCTTGCTATCTGCGGAAAAATCTCATTTGAAACAAAAAGGGATAAACTGCCGAGAAAAGAACTTTCAACTACCATCCTAATGATCGTTCGTCTGATTTGCTGAGAACTCTTCAAAATGGTTTTGACGCGTTGCATTTTACCCCTCCAGTTTGCCTACGAATTCAGCCTATCCGTGCTTGACGCGAATGGGCGGGTGATTACCAAAAGCTACTACTCACCACATCGGCATTCAGTCTATTAGTCGAATGACAATTAACAAACAAAATCCTTTGTTGTCATCAAAGTCCACGATCAAACCCTTTTTAATCCGTCTGGTAAGAATATGATAGATTTTCTCCAAGCTGTTGAAAAACCACGATTGGTTCAGTCCGATCAATTGATAGATTTTCTCCGAATTCTTTGCATGATAAACGGATAGAGTGAGCTGTGTAATACTGACCCTCTTTGGCGAAAGACGTTTTGATTGCTCGATTTATTAAGGCTGGGAGCAGTCATGTGAATATCAGGGTAACTTTAGTTTAAATGGTAAACCGGTTATTGGTTGTACTGAAAGATATCGTTTCCCTGAGCTATCGTTGGTATGTGTAATGTATATATAATATGTAATATGTGGACCACCGTACAAAATATCTTGAAAGCAGC